CTTTGCTGAATCTGAGAACTATGGTCAATCCATTGATGATAGCTCACCCAGCTTAAGCAGACTTCATTTAGAAGATGAAATGAAAGATCCACTGGAAGAGGAACCAAGTCGAGATCGGTGTTTGCTCCCTGGAGATGAAGATGAGCTACTAGCAGGCATAATGGATGATTTTGATCTTAGCGGGTTGCCAACTCAGGTGGAGGACTTGGAAGATGATTTTTTTGGTAGTGGTGGAGGACTAGAATTGGAACCTGACGCTCCTCAGGATAACTCACTTAATGGTTTTGCAAAGTTAAGCTTGTCTGATGGTGTTCTTGGAAGTAGTGTTGGACATTATGTCTTTCCAAACAGTGCTGGAACTGTTGCCGGAGAACATCCATATGGAGAGCATCCTTCTAGGACACTGTTTGTTCGGAATATTAACAGCAATGTAGAGGACTCCGAGCTGCAATCTCTCTTTGAAGTAATATTTTTAACTAAGTGCAGTTCTTACAGTCACATCTCTTATTGACTATTCTTTCTGTGGTCTCCCTTGTTGCCGGTCAGATGGTCGCAGCTTATTCTGTTTGTTTCGGAGAAAAACTCTCTTTTGTCTATTATAAGTTATCTTGAGAAGTAATACTGACCTGCTATGATTTGCTTTTTCCTTGAAGCAATATGGTGATATCAGAACTTTGTATACTTCATGCAAGCATAGGGGCTTTGTGATGATATCTTACTATGATATCCGAGCTGCTCGAACAGCAATGCGAGCACTACAAAATAAGCCTCTAAGACGGAGAAAGCTGGACATTCATTTTTCAATTCCTAAGGTCTGAGTATCGATAATGTTCATTCTTAATTGGTAGACATGCCAATATGTGAAGGCCAACTTCTAACCATCATTGCTTATTCTTATGTCCAGGAAAATCCATCAGAGAAAGATATTAACCAAGGAACGCTGGTCATTTTCAACTTGGATCCTTCAGTATCCAATGAGGATCTCCGCCAAATATTTGGGGCTTATGGGGAAGTGAAGGAGGTAGCAACTTTGCTGAATCATTCACTTTGATGTTGTTTGAGTTTATTTGCAACATCCAGTCTATTTATGATTAACTTGGTTGCTCATGTTGCATGGAAAATGCAGATCAGGGAAACACCGCACAAGCGCCATCATAAATTCATTGAGTTTTACGATGTTAGAGCATCTGAGGCTGCTCTCAAGGCTTTAAATAGGAGTGACATAGCTGGTAAGCGGATAAAGCTTGAACCGAGCCGACCTGGTGGAGCCCGTCGAAAGTATGTCCATAATTTCTCTTTAATGGAACCTCTTGACGAGATTTATGAGCTAGAATTTACCCTGTACAAGTGCTAATGGACTTGCATACATGCCAAAAATAAATAAAACAAAAGAAGAACAACACCAAGGACAAAAAGGAAATTAAAAAGAAAGAAAGAAAAAGAACTCTTGTTGTAGTTCAATTGGTAAAAGATGTCTCATAAGTCATATCCTATGCAAACAAGCGACACCTGTTGATTTTGTAATCATTGTGAGAATGCTTGGATGCCTTGATGATGTTTCAGTTAGTGTAAACTAAATCCTGCCCTTCTCCTTGAATTTGGGATAAGCATTGCTTACAATCTATAGATGTCGTGGATTAGGATGCAAGTTTTTGACTATATTCATGAACAAAGATTGACGACTTTGCATCCATTGTGTAGCTTGATGCAGCAACTTGGTCAGGACTATGAACATGAAGAAGTTCGAACTTTTAGGCACTCAGTTGGTTCTCCAGTAGCCAGCTCTCCTCCAGGTATTTTCACTTTCATAAATGACTGGTTTTAATCATGGAGAGTTCATCTTATAAGCTAAAATTCCTGCTGTGTCCAACAGGTAGCTGGTCAACCTTTGGCAGTCCTGTTGAGCCCAACTCATTGCTAGGTTATAATCAATCGCCCAGTCTGAGAAATCTCAGCCCTGTGAATGGCGATCATATGCCAGGGCTGGCTTCTATTCTTCCTGGCCATTTGTCAAGTCCTAAGATCGCACCAATTGGTAAAGATCCACGACGACTTGGCCATCTGAATCAGACAATTACTAGTCCCAAGTCAGTGCAAGGAATGGGTTATCAGCATTCTCATTCAGTTCCTGAGCATATACCACGTTTGAACATGGGATCTATGTCGTTTGGTGAGTCTAAGTCATCCGGGATTGGGATGCTTTCTGGTCCACAATTTCTTTGGGGAATCCCCCCGTAGAGTCCGAGCATACCGACTCTTCTGTCTGGTCAACTTCATCAATGACACATCCATTTGCATCAAATGGGCAAAGGCAAGGCTATCCATATCCTCGTCGACAGGGCTTGTTCCTTGGATCACATCATGTCGGATCTGCTCCATCGGGAATTCCTCTGGATAGGCATTTAGGTCTGTTCTCTGAGTCTCCTGAAACATCATATATGCACCAAGTTGCATATGGTAGTCCAGGTTCTAGTCACAACAATGGAAGTCATGCCATGAGTATAGGTAGCCTTGGGGCAATGAACATGGGTGTTTCTCTTACTGGGAACTTTATGGAGTGTGGTTCTCCTAGCTCTAGAATGATGCCACTGGCTAGGAACGGGCAATTATTTTTCAGAAATGGCTCTTACAGAGGAGTAGGAATGGCTAACAGTGAAGGGCTAACAGAACGATTTCGAAGTCGAGGAGTTGAGACTGGAAATGAGATAGACAACAAAACACAATATCAGCTTGATTTGAAGAAGATCATGAGTGGAGAAGATAGTAGGACTACTTTAATGATTAAGAACATCCCAAACAAGTAAGAGCAATCTAATTCTGAATTAGGGAATTTTGAGTTTTTGTATGATTATTTTTTTGCTTAACCATTCATGTTCTTCCTTATAAGGTACACTTCAAAGATGCTACTCACAGTAATTGACGAGACTCATAAGAATACATATGATTTCCTCTACTTGCCTATTGATTTCAAGGTAGTACAGTATATTATTATGTCTTCACATCTTCCAATAAATTTATATTGAAGGCCAGCTTATTTTTATGGTTTTGTTGCTTCAGAACAAATGTAACGTTGGTTATGCCTTCATCAACATGGTGTCTCCTTCAAATATCATCTCCTTTTATGAGGTTTGTTCTTTTACAATACCACATTCCTGGTGGTTGAGATTCTGCGGTGTGTGAAGTGCATACTGTATTTACTGAAAAGAAGAAAAAAGAGTACATGCAGTACCAGCCTGAAGTTTGTGTAGTGGACGATTTAGTATCCATCTCGTACATTGAATGTGGTGTTTTTACGTATTTAAAAAAGCTTAGCATAGTTATATTTGTTGTTTGAAATGACTTAGCTTGAGATACTTGTGCAGGTATTCAATGGGAAGAAGTGGGAAAAGTTTAACAGTGAAAAGGTTGCTTCCTTGGCTTATGCACGTATCCAAGGGAAGGCCGCCTTGGTTGCTCATTTCCAGAACTCAAGCTTAATGAATGAAGACAAGCGGTGCCGACCAATTCTTTTCCGCTCAGAGGGCCAAGAAGCAGCTGACCAGGTAGCGTGACTGTCTGTATTGAACCTACAAACAAATAACTGTATACTGTCGAGCTTATGCTGGTTGTTGGTTAAGAGGCCAGCTCAATATAATGGTTTATCCATCTTCGATGTTGTTGTCTACTCTGTCGCATGCTCATTTAAAATGGTTTTCCCGTTCGGTCTTTTGCAGGAACCATTGCCATCCAACAATCTGAACATTTGTGTACGTCGGCCTGATGGGTCCTACTTTGGAGATTCTCTGGATAGTCCAAAGGGTGATTTAGATGACAACCCTGAGAATTAGCTCTACATGAACCGGGAAAGCAGATGACTGAATGAGTTCTAACTGTGAATAGAAATAGTACATAATAACTTCTTAAGCTGGAAATCGGATATAGTCTCGTGTGTGCTAGGTAGTGTCTGCTTTTTGAATGAACGACACTCCAAAGCATACGGGACAAAAAATTATGATGCAGAGAGCATTTTGTTTATACCTTGTGTGACTATAATTGATATTCCCTATTTATCTAAGGGGAGTTGACAAGGTGAAGCATTCAGGCAACGTGTGAATTCTCTCTGCTTGTTGATATGCTTTGTTGCTAGCGGTGTAGAGAAACTTTCCTTTCTACTTTTTTCTTCGGTTGTCATGTAACTTGTGGTGGATTTGTATTACCAGATGCTATACATGTTCAGAGAGTAATGGGGCTGTTTCTAAGTGTATAGGATGGAAAACAGACCCTTCCTCTGTTTATGAATTTCACCTTTTTACTGATTCAAGGAAGGCAACTGTTGTACATGACTGTACAGTAAAATGTATGCTTCTACTTATTCTGTCAACCCGTTTTTTTTTTCTGAGTCAATAATGCCAAACATGTTGAGATAGAGTTTTGCTGCAAGTTGATATTTAGCTCTTCTGTTGGGAAGTTGAAGTTGAAGTTGAGCGTAAAACTGAGTAGGTTGAGCCAAACCCTCAGTTTTGGCCAAAAAAACAAAAATAAAGTAGACTTAGGCAAGAGGTTGGTGAGAAAGTCTTCATGTTTGGTGGGGAGTTGTCACTCGGAAAATTATTATTATGAGTTGAAAATAGAAAATCAAATAGAAGAAAGTTGTATTTGGGCAAAAGGTCAAATTTATCAGTAATCTTTCATTTCACTTAAAATACTCTTCAAACAAGTTTGATATAACGTTGAATATTATTTACGGCCAAATGGGGTTATTTTCCAGCTGGGTCCTTCCGTTTGACAGTAGGATCAGATTCAAGCTCCTTGTTACGCTGTGTTTCTTCTATTAACAGCACCAGTTTTCCATAGGGTCAATCTAAAGCAAAAGAAGCAATCGTTTTTTGTAACGAAAATATCACTTGTCTGATACTTAAAAAGTATCCTGCCTTATAATTGTGGGATAAAACTTTGAGGAGCTTGTTCCAACTCATCAATACCCTTTGGATAAGAACATGCATGTAGATAGAAAAATATAATTTGTGCAAGAAACTAAGTAGTGGCTCACTTGACAAAGTAAATATGTTATTACAATTGGGTTCAGCACATTAGGAGTTTCTCTTACAGGGGTAATGTTCCAGCTAAGCCAATTAAGATACAACCTCTCCAACAGTCATAAAAATGATCATGTTCCGTTTCCACTACAACTGATCTAGCAAACAATGATCTCAGGTTTGAAGTGCATCAGCTATTGACCCTGCCAAACTTATAACTTCAAAAGGAGCTTTATCAGCAATGGCTTTCACAGTGAGGGGACACGAATCTGTGATCCAAAAGTAAGTGAATGCTTTCTCTGAGCCTGAACACAAGAAGGGTATTGGTCACAGTCAGTAAACCAGGTAAATAGAGAAGGAAAGAACTAAGTGTTTGCTGGATAGGAATACAGATAGTTACCATCACCCTTGTGAATAAAACGCTCCCATGATCGCTTAGGGAACACTCCGTGAGTCACATATGCACTAACTTTTGCTGCACCATGAGCTGCCAAAACTTTCTGGTGAACCAAGTGTCAAAGAAAGAATGCGTTAGCGGTGCATCCAATTCACTTATTTAAGATATGAAGTCCAATACTTCTACCAACTCAGAATTACAGTGGAGGAGCTGATCCTAAAAATAGTCATCAAGGTGTTATTACATCACAACAGGATCCTGATTATAAATATACCTGTATATACATACGCGCGCGCGCGCACACACACACACTCTACTTTTTTCCCTTTTTCATGATTCCATTATTGTTTTAATATTCTGGTTGGACATGTTGGGATCTTCAAGGTAGCTGTGTCCAACTATTCATGGCAGTCATATACTCTACCCTAACAATTATAAACAATTAGTGCCAGAGCTGTCGAGGAAAATTGCCAATGTGACTAGTTTCAAGACATTGCAGCTAAAATTCGTAAGTTGACACATCCATTTATTTCTCCAATATGTGTCAACTTACGATTTTTTTGTTTTTTTTAACCATTTCAAAAAAAAAATTCGTAAGTTGATACATATTGGAGAAATAAAAATGGATGGTTTAAGTTTATGCACCGGGAAAGATATATTAACCCAAAATGAATTTGGGACTGAAAAGATGGAATGCTAAACAAACAGATGGACAGATATATTAACCCAAAATGAAGTTGGGACAGAAAAGATGGAATGCTAAACAAACAGATAACATCTACACAGAATTTGAACAAGCAAATCCATATTCCCTAGCTGAAGGAAGTCAGGTAACTAAGCACAAGAAGCAATCTGCAGATTTACTCAATCAACATAATAACACATCTCTTCAAACGATATCTACAAATGAAAAAAAAAGAGGATAGGAAGAACCAGAGTTGTATAAGACTGCTTAGCAACCCTAGGACTAAAGAAGCTGGACACTGGACGGACAGTAAAAATTTTAAATAATCGTGTTACGTCTAGTAGATGAAATTTGAGTACCTGGGACACAAACACTTTACTAACACTTATCGCAGTCAAGAGGCAGAATTACCTGGCATTCAATTAAGGTACCTCCAGATTGGACCAAGTCGTCAACAATGACCACATGGCAACCGGCAGGATTACCCTCTTTTAGCCTGACTATTCTCTTATCACCCTCCCGGACTTTAGTGCAAATCACCTAGGAGAGGAAAATCTGCTAACTTCAAGCTGATATAAGGTAGCTTAGAGAAGTAAAGAAGGAAGTTATTTACTAACAGCAGGATAGTGACCCAATTGCTTGTAAAACCGCTTCCAAGCTCCATCATCAGGAAATGCTATAACTATCTGGAATATAAAAATCGAAACAGTGTGATTTTTTTGTTATTGGAAAAATAACCATTTTTGATATGCTAAGTCCTCAACTTTGAAAAATGAGGATAAATATGCTTAGCAGGAAAACAGCCTACCTTCTCAGTCTGTGGAAGTTGCTGAAGCCGTTGCTTCAACAGTGGGATTCCAGTCACAAACAGAGGCAGAACGTGGTCTCCAAAATAAAACCTTTCCTGCAGTAAAAATGAAAAAACATAAACGCACGACCAAAAACATCTCGAGAAACACTTGAGCTAAGAACCCATGAACGGGTCAAGTTGGTCTCGTCAGCATAACTTTGGAACTTCTAAAAACATGGAAAAAGGACCCAAGATATAAGTAGCCTAAGCAACCATGTAAGCACAAAGGACCTACAATTATGTGATAGAAATCAAATTAACCTGCAATGCATGTATGTCATAGATGACTACACTGGTTGGACCACCCCTTGAGATTGGAATGTTTGATAATATTCTGGCCATAGTAAATGCAGTCGCCACATCTCCTTCCTCTTCCATCCGTTCAAAGGATCCCGTTGGAAAGAATGGCAGTACAAGTGTAAAAGATGCGACAAAAAGCCTCGGAAGAGCAAATATCACAGAAAGCTGTTCAAAGATGACTGCTGGTGAGCTGAAAGATGCCAGAAAAGCAACATGCTGCCCACGGATATTGTGTGCATTGTTTATGAAGAGATTTGGAAAGCCATCATCAAAACTCCTGGACCATGCACAAAATATTTGTTAGTTTCCCAAAAAAAGAGTCAAATGCAAACTATTTTACAAGTATCAGCATCGTTTCTAGGACCATTAGTAAACTAGGTACAAAGAGCTCCCGCATACAGATTGCCAATTTAAGGTATCTTTACTTGGTCTCAATAACAAAATATGCTGCAATTGGAGCCTTGAACTAACTTTATAAACAATAAACAAACTATTTTTCCCTTGTGAAGATACATTCAAACTTCACCAATGTGAGCAAAGTATAGCTAGTCTTAATCTTGATAAAGGAGGAGAGTCAAGGTAGATTTACGGCTAGTGTAAAAATAGAAAAACTTTGATGATCCTCTAGATTGAATGAGACTTAAGAGCGAAACGGATATAGAGGATTCGTGCAGCTACAGCTTACCGCAACTAATTCGGAATTGATGCATAGTTGATACTTGATACATATCAGTTATCACATACAAATATCTGTGCAAATTTATTTTTCGTTTGATCTTTGCTAGGTCATTCCTCGGTGAGACTTTACTAGTCATGTTCAATGTTCCATTAGAAAATGTAATTGAAAATTGACTTTCTGTTTTCCAAATGCTATATAAAAATGTTAAAAGATAGTCTTCAGTCAAGTCCATTAGTGGTGTTTTATTCACTTACACCTTTAGTACGGCAGCATCCTTCATCTAAAAACACTGTACTCCAATTAACAAAGAAAAGCTTCAAACATAAAAAAGGGGGATTTTGGTTCAATTTACTCCCATCAAATACTTAATCTTTTCAAGAGAATTACTGCTGTTAAACTTTTGGATGGGGTTTACACCGTTAAAATGTATGCATGTCATCACAAGCCATCTATCAACAACTATAGTTTGCTTCAACATGTGACAGACTTATAACAAATGAATAAATGTGTTCATTTCTATAAAAAAATTAAGCTTTTAAATGAGGCACAATTCAACATTGGTAAAGTTGAGTGAAACAAAGACATAAAAAAGAACCCAAAAAGCAGTGGAAGATGCATAGAAAAGGTTGGTTGGGGGGTTACCTCCAGTTAATAGAGTGGAGGTGAATGCAGTCGGATTCAGAAGCAATTTTGCGAGCAAGTTCCTCCATCTCAACACAGTGGTAGAGAAGCACTTGCTTCTTCGTCAGCGCACCATTCTCCATTGTTACAGTCAAAGTGTTCTCTCACTTTTGCCGCCAATTGAGAGAGAGAGAGAGAGAGAAAGAGAGGGAAGGCGGAGAGAGGTGCGGCCTGTCTGCTACCTTTTAAAGTAGGAGTATGTCTTTTTGCCGTGGATTTTGGTGCCCTCTCTTTATTTTTGCTGATATTTTATGCCTACACAATCTTTTTTTTTTTTTTTAATAAAGCAAAGCGACTTCTTCTGCACAATTTCCACGCTACTTCAAATCAATCAACTAGTCACAATATAATTTGTAAAGTTAATTTATTCTTAGCTAGGTTATAGATTCTCAATTTGTTTTGAAAAATCTATTTTTGATAAAGTTTAGTTTGAAGATAAAAATATGTTTGGACATAAGTTTTCAAAACATGTTTCACATTTTTAAAAAAAAAAATATGAAACATACTTATACCCACAAGTTCTAAAAACTATCACAAATACCTAACAATACCTTCATCAGTAACATTCATATCATTATCACAAACCATAATCCTGAACATAAATAAATTTGGTACAAAATTATTATTTTTATAATGAACTACATAATACACTATCAGATGACCGAGAAGACGAAACAATATTGTCACAAAATAATAAATGGTGGGCTCTTTTATAAAATACAAAGTTTGGGGCAATTTTTATAAATGTAGTAGTAAAATTTTGGGCTGAAACCAGCTCTTGAGCTGGTTTGGGATTTGAGATTTGGGATTTGGGAATTTGCCAAAATATGGATAAAATTTATGAACAAACATGTATTTGCCAAAAAAAATTGGGAAAAGTTCGGCACAATCTGGACAAACGGATCCTTAATTTAAAAGAAAAAGGCAGTCCAATGCATAATGTATCCTTCATTGATGTAAGATCCGGGGAAATATAGATCGTCAACCCTAATGCAATCATTAGTGACTGCTTGTACAACTCGAACCTGTTGCTCCAAGGTTTCCCTTCATAATTTATTCTTAATTTCTTAATTAATAATCTGTTTACCCAAAAATCGGATAACAATTAAATTTATATGTGATTATAAAGATACGTGATATAACTTGGTACAAATTGAGAAAATAGATTAATATTGAGATTGATGATAAAAGAACAAATGCAAACCATACAAGTTGAATTTCCTTGGCCCTCGGGTTCAACTGCCCTCGAACCAAAGGTGTTCCAACTGAAGTATGAACAAAGTAATAAAATAACAAGATAATAAAAGCTAGAAAATGACAGTATATTGCTTTATGTTGCGTAGAGATGATGTCTTTTACAAATGATCAGATACCCTTTATATAGTAGGGGAGTCCTACTCTTGATACAGTTCTATATGGGGTAAGTAATCACATGATTAGCTAATTAACCGGCCCGTCTTTGATACGTGCCGAGATTTCCGCCGTGATCTGTACCCGATCGCGGATATTTCGTCCTTCTGTTATTCGGCTGGCAAATCTCTCTCGGTCTCGTCTGATCTCGATCTTGTCCAGTCCCGGGGTCGAACTTAACGATATAACCTTGCACTTTGGTTCGGTATAATCCGAGGTCGAACCTTAACCTATCATATCCTAGTCTCGATTAACCATATAAGTGGCGAGCCCGATTTTGACCGTATACATAATCAACCTACTAAAACGTTCTCACTTAACTAATCATAATTGAAATTGACTATATTCCTTTGACATAGATTGAGCTCTCCTTCATCTTAAAAAGAATCTAATCTTCGGTTGCCTTGATCAAGCTTTGCTTTTGTTTTTCCGGGTCTAGTCCGCTTTTTTTTACTTTCTCTATGTTAGAGACAAACGGCACCATATTAGAACATAGAATTTGGTTCTTGATAAGAATATCAAACCTTTCTGTTAAAGAAAACTACTTTTTTTTCACTTAAAGAAGAAGCTTAGCAAATGATTCCTATATCCTTTTACCTCATTCTTGAAGTGTGAAACTTTTCTAGTCAGAAGCATAAAATCTTATTGGAAGATTTTGTAACTGAAAATGGGTTGGTGGGGCACCTACAATCCTGCAGGTTTCTGAATGGTGCCTATTGATGCTAACTATTTTATTTTTCTTGGACCAAAAAAAATACTACTAGTATTTTATTTTTGTTATTTAAAACATGTTTTCCATTGTCCCTCGTTATTTTCATAGTCTCACCAACCACTCATGAAACAAGGCCGTCCTATGCTTAAAGAGTCGCTCATCACACCTATCGCCAGAGGCGGAGGATCTAAGCTTTTTAAAATGGATGTCCCATTAAAAAAGAAAAGAAAAAAGCACTAAATGTGAATTGATCCCCAATTATTTGGGGTAAATAACACACTATTCAACCAAATATTTTTATAACATAGAGTCCAATATACGATATTAGATCAATTTTACAAAATATTTACATAACATACCGAGTTTGGTAGCAGACCATGTGTCCACCTGCACCATAAATACAGCCTAAATCTGGCCTGCCTACTGCGGGATAAGAAGGTGTTAATGGTTAAAGAAGAATGGTTCGCTCTAGCCGGCTCTTTAGAAGGGAAACCTAATGCAATAGTACAAGTTATCCTTATGTAATTAAGAGGTCACTTGTATAAAATTGAAAAATCATCTTACAAATTTAAATAAACTACGACTTGTGATTCATGTCGTACTTCAAACATAGCTGGAGTTTTATACACCGGATTGCATTTTGGGACTTAGTGTAAGTTGTATAGCTTTGCTGGGGGAAGTGCACGGTTGGCCACTAATAACACATGTATTTACTTTTAAGCCACCGTTTAAAATGTCTTTAGTCTTTAACCACTGCTTTAATAAACTTTAACTATCCGGGCGAAAATATCCTTCTGCTCATGTCCTTAACTTTTGTACTTAACTTCAGGACTTCAGGACTACATGTCCTTAACTTTTGAACTTGGAACTGTAAGTTCAGGACTTCATGACTACATGTCCTTAACTTTTGAACTTGTAACTCTAAGTTCAGGACTTCAAGGCTACATGTCCTTAACTTTTGAACTTGGAACTCAAACTTCAGGACCAAGCGTCCTTGACTTTTGAACTTGTAAGTCAAAGTTAAGGACCTATTGTCATTAACTTTTAAACTTGTAACTGTAAGTTAAGGACTACTTGTCCTTAGCTTTTGAACGTGTAACTGCAAGTTAAGGACTGTCTGTCCTTAACTTTTGAACTTGAAAATCAAAGTTAAGAACCTATTGTCCTTAACTTTTGAACTTGTAACTGTAAGTTAAGGACTGCCTGTCCTTAACTTTTGAACTTGTAACTATAAGTTAAGGACTGCCTGTCCTTAACTTTAGAACTTGTAACTGTAAGTTAAGGACTGCCTGTCCTTAACTTTTGAACTTGTGTCCTTAACTATTGAACTTAACTTTAGGAATTCAGGACTACATTTCCTTAACTTTTGAACTTGAAACTCTAAGTTCAGGACCATGTCCTTAACTTTTGAATTTAACTTTAGGACTTCGGACTACATGTCCTTAACTTTTGAATTTAACTTTAGGACTTCGGACTACATGTCCTTAACACAATTATCTTTGTCCTCAACTTTTTGGTTTTTTACCATATTTTTCCTAATTATCTGTTGTTTAAGAAAAAAAGTCACTTCTTTTAGAAAATCAAAAGTCACGTCCTCCCACGTTATGATTACTATGAGTGAAACCAAGCAATTCAACTCCTGAAAGCAGACACAAAAGAAAATGAGAGGCTTATAAAATTTATATGATTAATGCATTTCGTTTCTTCTGTTCAAGATTGGGTTTCATATATGAAAATAATGGAAACACTCATACGGACCCCAGAACGCCATTGCAGAAGGGAAGTGGAGCTGTAAGGAATGGATCTGAAAATGGCGTATTTCCGTTTGGGAAGGAAAGGGTAATACTGCCTTTTCATATTAATTTTAATAGACTAGTGTCTACTTTTGTTCAGCATTAAAGTAATGCTGGATAAAAAGTAAATACCACTTTTTAAAGTGGTATTTACTTTTTATCCAACATTTTTAATGGAGCAAAAATAGCCACTACTCTATTAAAATTAATATGAAAAGACGAAGTTACCCTTTCTTCTATCTCTTTTCCTTCCCAAATGGAAGTGCAGTGTTTATACCGGCGACTGTGTTTCTTCTCATTCTCAAGTGGATTCAGTTGCGTCATGGGAGGAAACCGGCGACTATGTTTCTTCTCATTCTCAAGTGGATTCAGTTGGATGTTCTAATATTAAAATGATTCATGTTCCAGACTAGTATATACTCAATATGATTCTTTTATCTTTTTCTTGAGCCTGGCACAAATGTTTATTAACAGTCGTTTTCAATACGAATTTGTTTTTAGATCTAAAAGTTGTGAAAATAAGAAAAAGAGTGATGAGTAAACAGGAAATGCAATTCTTTCCCAGAAGTTAAGGACATGTAGTCCTGAAGTCCTAAAGTTAAATTCAAAAGTTAAGGACATGGTCCTGAACTTAGAGTTTCAAGTTCAAAAGTTAAGGACGCTTGGTCCTGAAGTTTGAGTTCCAAGTTCAAAAGTTAAGGACATGTAGCCTTGAAGTCCTGAACTTAGAGTTACAAGTTCAAAAGTTAAGGACATGTAGTCCTGAAGTCCTGAAGTTAAGTACAAAAGTTAAGGACATGAGCAGAAGGGTATTTTCGTCCGGGCAGTTAAAGTTTATTAANCCTAGATGGCGTGGGGTAGCCACTGTTTAAGTTGGTATTTACTTTTTATCCAGCATTTTTAATGCTTAGCAATAGTAGCCACTAGTCTACTAAAATTAATATGAGAAGAGTGTGTTACCCTTTCCTCCCCAAATGGAAATACACTGATGCATTCAAAACATAAAGACTTCGTATTCTCTGGTGTTCTCTTGGTACAAATCGCTGCTATGTCGAAGCATGTTAGAAATGGACCTCAGTGGACTTTTTTCGGGTATGACGTTTTATGGGAGCTTTCGTGAAGATTTTAGATTCGTCTCTACTTTTTGTTTAAAATTTGGTTGACGTTGAAGCTATTATGCTTCTGCCATTTCTCTTGTGGCAGAATCGGTGTGCTGATTATTTTTCTTTCTATTGAGTCTAATGTAATAGGGTTTATTTGCTCTTAGCTCCTTGAATTTATTTTTAGATCTAAAAGTTGTGAAAATAA